CGAAAGCCTCTGACCCTAAAAATATAAACAAGAAAAGGAAATGTTCTTGTACCACTTCTACCTCAGTCTATTCTGGAGTTTTTCTAGACACACAAATTAGGGAAGAAAATCAAATAAAAGTATCTACATTGGAGAGAATGAAGAAAAACTACCTTCATTCACAGATGATATAATCTTGTGTGTAAAAAAAAAATCATGAGATACATACACACATGCAAAAAAAAAATCAGAAACATAAAGCTTATGAACATGCTTGTTCAAGTTGAAGGATACTAGATGACTACTTAAAATCTATTTTATTTCTGTATGCTTGCAATGAATAATCTAAGCAAAAAATTAAGAAAGCAATTCCAGTTACAAAAACAAAATTCTTTGGAATAAAGAGAACCAAGAAAGTACAAGATATGTACCCTTAAAACTATGAAAAGTTTATCAACAAAACTAAAGCTGTAAGTGTAAAGACATCTGTGTTCATGGATTCAAAGTTTTAATGTCATTAACATAGTAATAGTATAATACTCTCCAAAGTAATCTACAGATTGCACGTGATCCTTATAAAGTCTCAGCTGGAATCATTTTGTAAATATGGACAAGCTGATTCTAAAATTCATAGGGATAATAAGCGAGAGATCCAGAATAGCCAAAGCAAATTTGAAAATGAATAATAAAATCACAGAACTCACATCTTACGATTTTGGAGTTCATTACAGACACAGCAGTTGGGGTGAAATGGACTAAGCCACCACCTATGATGTCTGCATCCCATATGCTCACTGGTTTGAATCCTGACTCCTCCACTTCCGGTCCTGCTCTCAGCTGGAGAGAGTGGACCAGGTGCTTGGACCCCTGCTGCCCACATGCAAGATGTAGATAGAGTTTCAAGCTCCTGAGTTTGGCCTGCCTCGGCCCTAATCATTGCAGCCATCTGCGGAGTGAGCCAGCAGGTGGAAATTCTCTCTCATCTCTCTCCCTCTCTTTTTGCAACTCTCCCTTTCAGATAAATAAATCCACTATAAAAAGCAAACTTACTACAAAGCCACATTCATACTTTCCATGCGGGAAACAATAGTCTTTTGAACAAGTGATACTGAGAGGACTGCATATCCACACGCAGAAGAATGAATGGGGTAGGGGGCAGTGTGTGTCATACCATGTTGAGCTTGAGAAACAGGCATTCCACATGGGTGCCAGTTCCTGTCCCAGGTGCTTCACTTCCAATCCAATGCTCTGCTGATGCGCCTGGGTAGACTGCAGAGAATGGCCCACATACTTAGGTAGGCCCCTGCCATCCAGCGTGGGAGGCTCAGATGGAGTTCGAGTCCCCCGACTTCATTCAGCCTAGCCCAGCTGCAACTGTTGCAGCCTTCTGGGGAGTGAACCAGCAGGTGGAAAGTCTTGCTCTTTCTGTAACGCTGCCTTTCAAGTAAATAAATAATCTTCAAAACATAAATGTAAATCTATACCTTCCACCGGACACAAAAATTAATTAATCCAAAATCACTCAAAGACCTTAAAACCATGACACTCTTTACAGAAAACATAAGAGTAATCTCCAGGAACATTGATCAGGGAAGACTTTCTTAACTGTGCTATCAAAAGCACAAACAACAAAAGAAAATGTAAATTGGATGTCATCAAAGCTGAAAGTACATTTTCAAAGTTGGGGAGATACTTCAGAGAGTGTGTCATCCTACATGCCTCTGACTTCCCAGATCAACTATTAGCAGTGTGCTTCTCTAGAGATACCGAAGCATTGCAACATAGGCACACACTGAAAGCCAGAGCCATGGCACAGCGAGTTACGCCTCAGCCTGCAGTGCCAGCATCTCATTTTGTGGCCTGGCTGCTCTGTTTCAGCTCTCTTGTGATGCACCTGGGAAAACCAAAGAAGGTAGCCCAATGCCCTGGATCCCAGAACCTGTGTGGAAGGTCTGAAGAAGTTTCTGGATCCTGGCTTCAGCCTGGCTCAGCCCCAGTTGTTGAATTTCTATTTGAGGAATTAATCAGAAGATGGAAGATCTTTCTCTTTCTCTCTTTCCCCTCTGGCTCAGCCCCAGTTGTTGAATTTCTATTTGAGGAATTAATCAGAAGATGGAAGATCTTTCTCTTTCTCTCTTTCCCCTCTTTCTCTGTAACTCTGGTTTCACATACATAAATACATGTTAAAAATAAAAAAGAACAGTGACTGCAGTCACGTGGAGCAAGCTAGAGGTGATGGTTCTTTCAAGGTGGTCAACACGCTCCAGGGATCAATGGTCAGCACAGTACAGCATCTCTATCTCCATTTCCAGCTGATATTTTAAAACCATTTCAGGCTGATATTCTTTGTTTAGTAAAGAATGCTATGTTCTAGACAATAATCCAATCCTGTTCTTGTTTTTCAGGCATTTACAGGTTTAGAGAGTCTATACATGTCCTATACCAGGCACTGGGCTAGGTACTTTAGGCCTAAGAGATTTTTCTTAAGTTTTTAATCGTTTCTTTTTGGGTGCTTGTGCTGTGGTATAGTAGATAAGCCTTCGTCTGTGATGGCAGCATCACAAATGGGCACCGGTTCAAGTCCCAGCTTCTCTACTTCCCATCTCTGCTAACAGCCTGGGAAAGCGACAAAGGATGGCCCAAGTGTTTGGGTTCCTGCTACCTCTACATGGGAGACCTGGAAGAATTTCTAGGCTTCTGGCTTTAGATCAGCTCAGCTCTGGCCATAGCAACCATTTGGGGAGTGAACCAGCAAATGGGAGATGGCTCTCTCTCTCAACTGTAAATCTGCTTTTCAAATAAAAAATAAGACCTTTTAAAAAAACATTTATTATTATTGGATTTTAAAGGCAGAGAAACAAACCCATAGAAATCTCCCAATTGCTGGTTCACTCCCTAGATGATGACAGCAGCCAGATTGGTCAGGCCTAAGCTAGAAACCCAGCACTCCTTCCATGTCTCCCATGTAAGTGGCAGAGGCCTTTGTACTTGACATCCCCTGCCTCCCATGCTGTCCACTAGCAGAAGCCGGGGCGTAGGCACTCAAATCAGGCTTTCCAATATAGGCGCAGGCCTCTCCAGCGGCAACCTCACCACTATGACAGGCGTTCTCACCCTGCAGACATTCTATCTAGTGATGTTTGCTTAGGTCTGTCTCCGAGCTCCCAGGAGAAGCTCCAGGCTACTGGGTCAGCCTTCTTGGCCTCTGGTTTCTCCCTGCCTCCACGTGCAGCCTTGGGCCTCAGGGTTGCGTTCACTTTGCCTCAGAGTTCTAGAAATGCCTGAATATGCCTTCTGTATACCCCTTTAGAGGCCTCATTTCGCATACAGTAGTGCAAAGAACACTTCATGATAACAAAGCAGCCAGCATCTTCCTGTGCGTGCCTCCTGCATAGTGCTGCTGATTACCTCGCTTGATTTTGGAAGCAGTTCTGTGTAAAAGACGCTGCTACTGTCACCATTGTGCAGATGAGAAAACGGGCATCCAGAGGTCTAATAACTTTACCTAGTGTCACATAATCAGATATTGAACAAGCCAAGGCTCCATGCCCAGTTTGCCAAACTCAAGAAGGTTTGTGTTTAACCACAAGCCAGACAGTATGATATTGATCCACGGTGGAGATCAGCCTGAGGTATCAGCAGCTTATGAAGACAGCAATTACAATAGACATTTCAGAAAGATTTCCATCTAAAATGGATTTTAAAATAGTTTAAACCTTGGTGCTTGAAAGAGTGTTGAGTTGTCAGAAACAAAAATCTCCAACAGTGCCAGAGCAAGGAGATGTTTCTGTACTACCTAACATTCCTAAGTGAAAAGCAGCTCACTGAACCTTCTGGAATCTTCAGAATGCAGGAATCATAGGCAAGCTCAACATGTTTTTATTAATAAAATAAAAAAGAAGATACCATAGATGTTGTTCTAGAAAGGATGTAGTAGAATGCTTTAAAGCTACCCCAACTCAAAAACAAGGGAGGGCAGGCATTCCAATAGAGCAATAAGGGAAATTGGAATAAAATATTATGAGACAAGGTAACCTAACGCCAGGTTAGCTTTAGGGAAAATTGTTAAGGAAGCAAGGTTTATCTGGACAAATACACTACTACCTCTGCTACTACTACTACAAATAATAGGTATTACATGCAAGACACTACATTCCAGGCATTCCTCCAGCGGCTAGAGTTAACAGATAGATGCCACTATTAATTCCCATTGTACAGGTGGGAGAAGGAAGTATAGAGGCACAGCTGAATAACACACTCAAGGTCATAAAGATAGTAGTCAGAACAAACCTAGATTTGAACCTGAGAAGTCTGGCAGGACAGGCTTGAATACCCTTTTATTATACTTTTTCTGGTGCCCGCTGTGGTAGCCCAGCGGCTAAAGTCCTCAACTGGCATGCACAGGGATCCCATATGGGCACTGCTTCCAATACCTGCAGCTCCACTTCCCATCCAGCTCCCTGCTTGTGGCCTGGGAAAGCAGTCGGGGACGGTCCAAAGCCTTGGGACCCTGCACCTGCATGGGAAACCCAGAAAAAGCTCCTAGCTCCTGGCTTCAGATCACCTCAAGCTCCAACTGGGAATTCTTTCTCTATCTCTTTCTCCCTGTAGATCTGCCTTTCTAATAAAAATAAAATTAATCTTTTTTTTTTTTTTCTGTTCTGGCCTTTTGTTCTCTTCCAAAATTAAGGCGGTAACCATGACTTCCTGTAGCAGTCTGTGGTTCATTTTCGGCTCCCCTTAGTAAGGTAGTACACCACTAAAGTTCTCTTCGAGTAAGCTGGTATTCAGGGCTGAGATGTTGTAAAAACACTCTCTCCTTTTTAGAGTCTTGATTTTCTTCTGTTTGGAACTGATTTCTCTGGAAACCAGAAGAGGAATCTGACACTGGGAACATCAATTCCAACTCTGATTTTTAGAAAATGCTGTTTAACTTGGTGACTATCAACAGTGAGAAATAAGTCACGTGTTTTTACTATCAGTCCTGTTGGCAACAATGAAGGCAACCTGAGTGGGCTTACCTCCACTTGAAGGGCTGCGCATCCCTTTAGGAAGTCATTGATGTTGCTGATACAGTGGGCTTCAGTTTGGGGCTCCAGACAATACTAGAAAAAACAGAGTCAAGTGTCACTTGGAGATTGTCTTTCCACACCAAGCAAAACATCCTCATCATTTGCTGGTAAGCAGGTAAGGCAGGGTTTTTTTTGGTTTTTTTGGGTTTTTTCTTTTCTTTTTTTTTTTTTTTTTTGTTTTTTTAAAGACAGGAGGTACGAATGCTTTCGGTCCAGGAAGAGAAATAACCACTGAAGGAAGTGATGCAAAAATCTAAACAGTTGGTTGCTGTTTCAAATGGTCACCCAAGCTTTATAGTCTCAAGCCATTTCTACCCTCAGACCTTTTGCTGTGCCTTCAGCCCAAGTGTGCTGATAATGCCGTGGAAAGACCAAGACACTCTCTGAGTTTAGCTCTTGCTTTCAAACCAGGAAGTGCTTTTATCTCCCTCCCTTTCCCCACGATAGCATATTAAAATTCTATTTCCTCTGTACTGCTCTCTACATTTTATCACATTTCTCTGCATTGTATCACTCTTCCTCAAGTTAACAAAATTTTGACTGAATCTCCTTGCTCAATAAAAAACATTTTTTTTTTTTTGTTTAAAAAAGCTAGTTCCAGTCATGATCTGGGATGATTCAAGAAAACAATTATAGGTGTCTACTTCTATGCTTACGTAAAGTGCCTACTTTAGAAATGATCTATTCTTGTGATCATCAGCTTCCAACTTTAACAACTGTAGATTTTTTTTAAGAGGGTAAGGTTAGTTTCACTTTGAATGCATGCTGCATTTGAAACATACATTGGGTTTCTACTGTTTTGTCCAAACTTCATGTGACATTTTGGATTATTTCTCTGAATTGCTAAATAGTCTTGTGTTCAAAGGATACTTTTAAACAATTTACATTGATTTTAGGGAAACTGTTGAAACACCCTCAAGATCTGTTAGAAATCATTTGCCTATATTGTAGCTTCCTATGTACCCCAGGTTCAAATCATCCTCAATACCCAGTGTAGCATACACGTCTCCACAATGGAGCAAACTTGTGATATGAATGCTTTCCTTGTCCCCTACTGCCAAAAGTTTAATGGGTTTTACTATATTGATATTTAAAAGCCATGAAGGACATTTCGTTTTCTGACTTTCTCAAGCAACAAAACCAGTAAGCCAGCATATAGAACCCTTAAAAAAGATATTAAAGTAGGAGGTCCCCATGACCCGTGCATGGAATCTCAAGAGGCCCATGACTTCAGCTGTGTGATGGGAAGCAATCCCAAAGATGCTGCAAATGGACCTTACCTTTCCCACAGAGCCAGGCACGAGTCTGTTGATCAGCTTGCACAGCACTACCCCATTTTTCAGCGAGGTCTTCAAGAACTCCTCCGGATCACAGATGGTCTTTTTCGGGGAATCTAAAACTCCCAAAGATATCAGCCAGGTCACGACTCGTTCTTCTGGATTCATTCCTGAGGACGATGCACGGGGAACAGCTCACTGGGCCAGCTGCAAGGACGAAGCCACATCCGCGATTGCATCTGCCGTTGTCTTCCTTGTTAGGAGTTCTCTTCTGGTGCTTACGGAGGAAAGGTTTCAAAGCAACTCTTTTTAGACACCAGTGGCCCCACTCAAAACACGGGGTTTGAAAAGCACAGGGATCATTCTCAAAGATGTGGAACTCAGATAAGAATTCGTGGGAAATATCCTGGATAATACCTATTAGTTTCTTTCAAAATCTGCAAAACAAATTCATTACGATAAAAAAAGGAAGAAACACACACATGTCCACACCCCTTTTTAAAAAAAAAAAAAAACTCTCAACAGTTCACGAAACTGTAAGGGCAGGAAGTGAGGACGCTGGGGAGGGAGGAGAGAGAATGAAGCAACTGTGTGAGGAAAACAGAGGTGAGCCAGAATTTCAGGGTCCTTGAAACAAAACATTCCTGGGCCAGTCTGGGAGAACACTGGAAACAAATAAATTGTCTATCTCTAGTAAAATTCAGGGTTCTGTGAAGGAAAGATGCCAACTGGCTTTTAGATCAGACAGCACTGAGCTTCAAAGGGTGCTGTGCTGGCACAACAGGCCTCAAAGAAGGATGGCTAAGAGAATTCTACCAAGAAATGGCCGCATGTCTTCAGACTAGCTCACGGAGGTGGTGTGTCATGCTCATTCCTTGCAAAAGATGTTGAATTGCACGGTGACAACGTGCCAAGCAAATGAAGAGTTTGCCTGCTGTCAGCCATCACTGGGTCACAGCAGAAGCTGGAAGAATGGCATTTTACTTTGCAGCCAGCAAGCTATGTTTAGGGAAATAGGCTGAGGATAACATCTGACATCCTGTTTACTTGCATTCTTTAGCGATTCTTTTTCTGGACCTGGATCCACTACACAACCCAGCTGCAGTACCCTTAGCAAAGGTTCAGACACAGTCACAGAAGCAGTGAAAATCCACTTGAAAACAGAACGTTTGGAAACAAAAGAGCACTTGTCCTCTAGCTACACTACAATGTGGATGGTTCATGTTTCCCCAACAAGCAACACTTTTCATTTAAGATGCTGTTCTGAAAAAAAAAAAAAAAAAAACTAGTCTATAACAAGATACCTTCATTATTCTCAAGTGTTTTCAGAACCTGTTGAAATGATCACATTATTGGGAAATTACGGAGAAGGCTACTTTGCTACTCTAACCTAGGTTGGCAGCTGCATGGCAGTCACAGTCACTACCTACCCCTCCGCATGCCTGGGAGACACCTGAGCCATCATAAGCCTCACACTCACTTCCAACACAGCTGCGGCCATCTACTACTGAATAATCATCTTACATAACACTACTGAACATTCACAGTGCTGCCACCTCTTGTCCTGTCACAACACTTATAACTCTTTATTATGGCTTTTTCGTCTGTCTCCTCCACCAGACTGTAAACTCTCTGGAGTGGAGCCTTGTTTAATACTGTGTCTCACACAGAAAGCCTAGTACCTATCACTGCGATGTTCAAAAGTGCTGGATGGAAGTGAGGATTGGGCACAATGGTTAGATGCCACTTGAGATGATACGATTCCATGGCATAGCGCCTGCGTTTGAGATCTGGCCCCATTTCCAATCCAGCTACTTGCAGATACGTAACTCAGCAGGCAGCAGGTGTTGGTTAAAGTATTTGAGTCGGTGCCATTCTTGTGGGAGACCCTGAATCCCTGTGCCCTTGGCTTTGTCTTGGGCCAGTCCTGGGTATAGTAGACTTCTGGGAAATGAATCAGCACATGGGAGATTTACTCTCGCTATTTCTTTCTTTCTCTGCATTTCAAATAAATGAAAATCAATAATTTTCCCAAAAGAAGAAAATCGTAAGTGATATAATAAATGCATGTACTCAAGTGTCATTCCTGGCTTAGATTCTGCATGATTATAACAAAGATTGTTGACTTAATCATCTTTCCTTGCTAAAGGTTTTGACAGCTTTGTTGTGATGATTTATACATAATAAACTGTGCATACTTAAGGTGCACCAATTAACTAATTTTGACATAGTTGCACACTATTGATAGAAACATAACACATTCACATTCCAGCTAAGGTTTTCGTGATCTCCTGGGATCCTTTCAACCCCCATACCTTCTTTTCCTCTAATCCCAATCAGCCATTGACAGGCTATCAGTCCCTTTAGTGTAGTTTGCATTTTGTAGAATCATGTGTGACTGAAAGCATGGAAGTATACTGTGAAATATGTTCATTTGTCTGTCTTCTTTAATTCCAAATGTTTGCTTTGAGATTCACTTACATTGCTGTGCCTATCCACAGTTCCATAATAAGCATTTGTCCGCCATCTCTCCGGTTTGATGTAGTCATAAGGCAAAATAAGTATAGTTAACCAAGTGTTTTAACTGCCAAATCTATGCAGATGACATAGAAACAGAATCCACTTACTGATAAATTAAATTCCCAAATACAATGGCAATGGTCACGTTCCCAATTGCTCATCAAAATATATGCTCTACATTTTTCTCACTGTTGTTGATTTTGTTTTAAAGCTTTTTATTTAAGGGGATGCATAGTAACTGCACAGCAGAAATTATCACATGGAGATGTGAAGATGCAATGCAGTGTGCATCTTTACTTACAAATCAAAGATGGATTCCCAATGAAACTGTTGAATGTATCTTAACAATAAGATGCTGGACTCGTTGCCATTGTCCATGCGTGCAATGTCAGGATACACTTAAATAGGAGAATGATGGACTTATGATTCATTGTGAAGGACTATACTGTTGTAATGACATAGGGGAAATTAGTGGGAGGGGAGGATTTGTGGAGGGAGAAGGGAGATTGCGGAGCCTATGGAACTGTATCATGGAATAATAAAATAAATAAATAAATAAATTTAAATAAATAAATACATGTATTTGTTCTACAGACAAAAAACTAATCTGGCAGTATTACTGAGGTAGCACTTATTCTCTGATGAAGAACAAAGCCTGGGGAAAAAAAAAGAACAAAGCGTGGTCCATTTTAAGTACTCAGCCTAGTCCAAAATGGTCTTGAGACCCCTGAGGTCACCTGGATCTGCCTCGTTTTCGGACACAGGTTATAGCACATTACCATCAGTACTACCAAAGTGAACTCACAAAGGCAAGACGACCATCTCGAGCCAGAAGAACCTGTTCTATTAGTTATAGAGACTGCAAGTCACATTTAGCATGATAAAATATCAAGAATGCGAGAAACTACATGGCAGTGGCATCTAGGTCAAACGACTAACCATGCAACTCGGGCTGGCTAGGGAAGCAAATGAAGACAAAAAGAAGCTGATGAGTTTGCGGAGTAGGATGGAGATCACAGCAACAAAGAGAAAAGACTTAGTACAGGTCATGAATGGAAAGAAGAGTTCTCTCTTTAAACCTCACATTCTCAGTTCCACAACCCCTGGCCCACTGCACCTTCCACAGCAATGGCTCACTCTCCTTCATTCTTTCATCCTAATGAATTCTTTAGTGGAGCCCAATTTGGCTGATTTTCCAAAGCATCTCATTGAGAGTGTTAATACCTCTGTAAACCCCAAAGACTTTCCATTGCCTAAAGCAGGGACAAACAAAAATATTCCGCATAATCACCTCCTGGGAGGCATGAAGGAGAAAGGATAAAGAGAATACAACTTGAAATAAGAGAGGAAGCACTTTATTTAAAATTTTTTAAAAAACTGCGTAAAAAAAGGTAGTATGAACATTTGTTAAAACTGGGGCCTATTATCTTATTTTCTGTACTCTTATGTATTCAAAATATTCATAACTATGTAACTAACTTCTTTTTCAAATTAAAATATGGGGCTGGTGTGATGGTTGAATTGGCTATTCCTCTGCCTGCAAGCACCAGCATGCCATATAAACACCAGTTTGTGTCCCAACTGTTCCACTCCCCACCCGGCTCCCTGAGAGTGGCCTGGAAAGGCAGTAAAGGAGAGCCCAAAGCCTTGGGACCCTGCACCCATATGAGAGTCCCTAAAGAAGAAGCTCCTGGCTTTTGAATTCATATCAGTTCAGCTGCAGCCGTTGCAGCCATTGGAGGAGTGAACCAGCCTATGGAAGATCTTTCTCTGCCTCTCCTCTCTGTAAATTTGCGGTTCAAAAAAAACACCTGAAACGCTTGTTGAAAGATGTAGAGATACTGTTCCCAATACAGAAGATCTACAATGGCTCAGAGGAATCCGTACTATTCAAGTACCCTGAATATGATTTGGATGTGGAGACACCAAAGGCACGCTGGAGCCAATGATTTAGTTTGTCACTTCCAATTCCCTCAGTGCCTCAGCTCAGTATTTTACAACAGCCACGCCACGTCATGATCACTCATTTCCTTGCCTTCCTCTACCCATACTCAATTTTACCCCTCAGCCCCTGCAATATCTATTCTGTGAAAATGGATCTGAGAAGTTGAAAGAGATTTTGTTTTACCAAGTGGCATGATATTGATCTGTCAATAGGCGGCAGTAAAGAGAAAGTGCATGCAGCACGCAATTTCCTTCCTGTTTTCTGGGTGCTCACTCCACAGGCTCATGGCAAACGGCGGGTTTTCCGAAGCCCCAGCTGCTGCAGCACGGGTTTGCCGAGTGCACAGTGGGCAGCAGCTTCCTTTAGCAGTGCCCGCAGCTGATTCTATAACAAAGTGTCTGTGGCAAGACATCACTCACGTGAGCTGCCTTAGGGGGGGCACATTTCCAGCAAGTTCCATAGGGCCGATGTCCAACAAGTACCACTGACTCAGCAACACAGAAACTTCTCTTTCCAAGCTTGGATCTCATCTCAGCACTGGGCTGCGACAGGGAGTTCCAGTGGAATTGGCTATCACACATCGTTTTTATGTTGTCTGCTAGTCTATACACTTAGAACGAGGATAAAATATTTGTAAATCATATATCTGCTAAGGGGGTTGTAGCTAGAATAAATAAATATCTTTTGAAACTTGATAGTAAAATAATGTTCAATGAGTAAACTATTCAAATTGACATTTCTCCAATGTAGGCATACGAATAGCCAACAACACATAAAAAGATATTCAATATCATTAGAAATCAGAGAAATGCAAATCAAAACACACTGGAATTTCACTTCACATTCATTAGCATGACTACAATCAAAAAGGAAGATAATAATTAATGTTGTCAAGAATATGAAGAAATTAGAACTCCTGTGCATGGCTTGTGGAAATCTAAAATGATGGAGTGACTGTGGAAAACGGCTTTGCAGTTCCTCAAACCGTTAAGTAGAGTTCCCATATGGTCAGTTATTCCGCTCCAAGGGAACTGA